GGAGCGCCCCCCCCCCTTTCCCCACTGTCCCCGGGCCCGGCTCTCCGCTGGTTCCGCCACCGTCAGCATACTCCCTTCCGCCCCGAGCGTCTAAAACCTAGCCATGACGACGGAGAACGGCGCTTGCATGGAAATGTGAAGGGGAAGTGGGCGTGCTGGGCGGGAAGCGCCTCCGCCGGGCCACGCCGCAGGACCACGGCAGAGGGCGGCAGGGCAGCAGTCCGGGTCAACTGTTGCGGGCGCTGCGGGGCGGCCGCTGGTCCACCGGATGATGAAGAGCCCCCCGGGCCCGGCGCTGCGTCGAGGTGAAATTATCTCCCCCCCCCCCTCAACCCGCGCCCCCCAGCCTGATGCGCGCGGCTGGAGCGGGGGAGGCGGCAGCGAGGGCAGGACGCGAGGGGGAGAGGGGAGGGGGGGGATGAGTGGACGGTGTGCAGCGGCGGCTGGAGGACCCCGCAGTAGCCGCGGTTCCCCCACGCCGAGCGCGTCGTCCCCCGCTCCGCCCGCTCCACTTTGTCACCACTGGGCACACACCGCGGGGGGACACGCGCTTCCTGACCCGGCATGGCCAGCCCGCGGACTTCCCCGCGGGGCGGCCCGGGCCCGGGGGCGGGCGGCGCCGGGTGCCGCCGCCTGGCATGACCGCCCCGCGCTGCGCACCGCCCCCGACACGCCATGGACGTCCTGTGCGCGGAGGGCGCGGCCGCCGGCAACGGCAGCGGTACGGGCGAGCCGCCCTGGCTGCGGTCGCCCTGCCACGGCCACGTCCTCAACGCCATCTTCGCGCTCACCACCACCTACCTGAGCCTGCTGCTGCTGATGTGCCTGCGCTGCTCGGGGCGCGACGACCGCGACGGCGGCCAGGGCGTCGCGAGGCGTGCGGGCGCCGCCACGGCCAGGCCTCTGCTCTCGCTCGCGCTGCTGGCGTGCTTGTGTGGCGAGCTGGCCGAGGCCGTCCTCGCCCTGGTGAGGCACGGCCCCGCCCGCACGGCCGGCCCGCTGGTGGCCGCCGCCTGCTCCGTGGCCTCGTGGCTGCCCGCCGAGCTCCTCGACGCGCACCTCATCGGCGGCACCGGTGTCTACGGGACGCTGCGCCTGCTGCCCGTCGCTTGCGAAGCCCTCATGTCCGCGGCAAGGTGTGCTTTAATGAGTCTCTAGGGCAATCCGTCTTAGTCCCTTAGGCTTATGGACCGAGAAAGAACGTCCGTAATTCGCCGTTTACAAACTGTAAGCTATCATAGCGCCTGGTAGGTAGGCCATATTTGGCCTGCAGTGCATGCGTGCTTTGCGGGTTGGCCTACCCCGAATCTCGCAGGCGCTCAGCTTCCTTAATTTGCCGAAAGAATCTGAACGGACGCACTTTCTGGATGAGCGCTTACCCTGAGAGGCTCCTCAACCCGCTGACCTGGCGTGTTGCTGCAGGTTCCTCAGCGTGGTACAAATGCGGCTGTGGGACGCCGCGACCTTCGACCTCGCCCGCCCCACCCTCAGCCTGGCTGCCGCCCTCCTCTACCTCGCCGTGGCCGTGGTCGACCTGGGCGTGCTGAAGGGCCGGCGGCGGCCGGAAGGCCCCGGCGACCACGCTCACTACTCGTGCTACCGCTACAAGGAGGCCGGCCTCTACTCAAAGGCCACCTTCTCCTGGCTCACACCCCTGCTCCGCCTTGGCAACAGCAGCCCGCTCGAACTTGAGGATCTGGGCAGGATCCCTGCCTCCGAGAGCACAGCGCTTCACCACGAGAAGTTTCAGGACATCTACAACTCCCTCAAGGTCAGTGGCACTTCGGGATCACTTACCTCCCGATTGCTTCGGATTACTTGAATATTACCCATGCATTGCCCAGCTGGATCACCAAGAATTACGACTGGAATCGCGAGTGTCTTTTGGATCACCTTTGGATTGCCTATCTGCTTTACTTTTCTTGTTTTCCCAAGTCGATTCCCCTTTCGGATTGGCACGGTTTGTCTCGGTTGCAGAGCAGGGCGAGCGGCGTGGTGCCCCTGTGGAGGTGCTTCCTGCTCTTCTCCTGGCGGATGCTGGCGCTAAGCGGGGTCTTCAAGCTGTCCGGGGACATGGTCGGGCTCATGGGTCCCATGGGGATTTCTGTCATCGTTCTGTACGTGCAAGGCGTGGGCAAAGACGAGACGCGCCTACGAGAGACGGTACGGCAAACCTTTCTGTCTGACTGGAACTGACTGTTGGGGGTCTGATGTACTTGACTGGTGCTTCTTTTTCAGGCGCTGTTCTATGTATCTATTTCTGAATTTTTCAGTAACGGTTACGTGATGGGAATGCTGGTATTTATTTCGGCTTTGGCACAAGGAACTTTTTCTCAGAGTAGCACCCATCTGATAAATGTTGAAGGGATTCGCATAAAAGCAGCCCTCCAGGTAAAGAAAATATCATCAAAATTGTATATTCAGAGGAATTTAAAAAGGTTCATTGTTTTTACATCTCTTTTGAAATTATAGGCCATGATTTATGACAAATCGTTAAAGCTGCCACTGTGGAGTTTCTCGGAGGGTGACATTTCGGAAGAAACACAAAGTGACAAGTTGAGCCAAACGCACCTGCCAAAATGCGAGAATAAGACTCAGAGCAAGAAGGAGAGCGAGCTGGGGGGCTCCGGCCAGGGCACCACCTCGCACACCGACTTTGGAACAATCACGAACCTCATGTCTGAAGACACCTACAATGTCATGTCTTTCATTTGGATTTGCCATTATGTTTGGGCGATCCCGGTTAAGGTAGGGTTTAAAGTCAATAAGTCAAAAGAAATAGCGGTCCGGTCACGACCCAGTCGACTGGTACTGTAGCGGGATAGCATGAAGCCAAAAAAAGCCATAGCAGTACACACAACTCGCATATTAAAGTACACGGTACCCTGAATCATAGCCTCTTCAAAAAAAGTAAAAAATAATATTGTGTTATGCAGATTGGTGTCCTGATGTTCCTGCTGCATTATCAGCTGGGGGTGAGCGCTCTCATCGGCGCCGTGCTCTGTGTGGCCCTGATGACACCCCTGCAGTTCGCCATTGGCAAGAAAATGTCCGCCAACTCGAAGTCCATATCAGTGAGTACCGGCGCTTCGATCTTCACTTTACAATTTCTCGGCGCAAGACTCTTGCACGCGGCGCGAGTGTGCCAATGATGGACAACGACCTAACTAAACCATTTCCAGGAGGCGAACGATGAGCGGCTACGGCGGATCAACGAGGTCCTCCACGGCATCAAGGTGATCAAGCTGTCCGGCTGGGAGGAGCAGTACGAGAGCAGGGTCCAGCTCGCCAGGAACACGGAGCTGCGCCTGCTCAACGTGGACTCCCTGCACTGGGCCGTCATGAGTAAGCGCCCTAGCTCGGGACGGGGGACACGTTTCCGTTACCTTTCGAAATGTAAATATATTTCAGCAACAGCATATCCAATGTTTCACAGCTTTTCTCACACACGCGTCGTCCGCCATCGTGACCCTGGTCACCTTCGGCGTGTACATGATGGTGGAGAAGGCCCCCCTCCCCACGGCCAGCGTGTTCGCCAGCCTCGCCCTCTTCAACCAGCTCACCGTGCCCCTCTTCATCTTCCCCATCACCGTCCCCATCATCATAAGTGCCATGATCAGCACGCGCCGACTGCAGGTATATGGTGGTTTCTATTTTCAGGGAAAAAGAGTGAAATTTCATTGAAAAGTTTTCTATAAATAAAATAATGA